TACGAGGACCGGCACCGAAGGGTAGGTAAGTGTAGGGAAGTATTTTGTGTCTGTTTTCTGGCAAAAACCTTTCGGGAGTGAACTTCTCTGCATTCGGGTAATACTCCTCCGAGTGATGGATGGCATACGTCCCAAATTCAACCGTCTGTCCCTTTTGGATAGTAATCCCGGTGTCTCCTAATTTGTAGTCTTCTGAGGCAACTCTCGACAGTTTAATGGCCGGCGAATGGAGTCTCAGTGCCTCCGATAAGACTGCATCCAAATACGGGAGTCTCGCCAACAGATTGTAATCTATCTCTCCGTTTGAGTCAAACGAAGACCGGATTTCTTCGTATAATTTCTGCTGAATGTGTGCATTGAGTGCCAATTCATAGGAACAGTACGTCAGAAGAGTAGCCGTTGTCTCATAACCGGCCGCAAAGAAGACAATCCCCTGCGCCTGTATCTCGCCCTCAGTTAACATCTTATTTGATAGCTTTATGTCCAACACCTTGGACTCGACGGCCAATTCATCCGCTCCTATCGTATTAAATATATTTAGAGATTATAAGAAATATACAAATTAATTGTACTTTAATTTAAGTATAAATAGTAAATATAAGTCACAGACAAACCTTCATTGACATGGTGTGCCTCATGTATATCAGTCTCATCCCTATTACTATGGCTTCCCTTCTCGGCATTCATCATAAGAGCCATGAAATCATTGTATTTCTTATCCGACTTTTGTCTCATTTTTAATATCTGTGTCACAATACCACAGAAGAATGTGATGGAGTTCTCATCGATAAACGTCCGGATATTTATCATTTTCAATACAAATGCCGGAAATAGGGTGACGACAAAAAATCTCCAAACGGAAGGCTTAAAGAAATTTCTGGCGTTTATGATAAACGGATCGTTAGGATCCTTATGGGTATTGGTTTTGGTAGCAAAGGCACAGTTGGCGATCACATCCATTGTATAACAACCAAACATATCCTTCACATTTATGTCTTTCCTTTGTTTCGCATAAGTGTCTAAAACGTCGAGAAATTCATTCAACGACTGTCTCACCAATGGATACATTTTCCTCATCTTTCCCGATGTGAACGTAGGGCTGGCTATCGATCGGATCCGTTTCCAGTCCTCATCTTTGGCCGCCGCCAGATTCAGGTCAAAGACAGGATGACTTATGTTTGAGTTTGACCTCCGGTTCACAAATTTATTGAAATCCTTGACAATAATTTGTTTGATGATTTCGGGATCAGCCACTTGTAGGACAGGTTTATTTGCTTCAAATACACTTTAAAAGCGATATACATATAATTAATAAACCCAAATAATAATAATTAAAATAATAAG